TTTCTATGAGCTTTATGAAACTATTGAGACTTCAGGATTTTATTGTGTATTTGTTGATATATTTTAAAATAATTATTTTGTTTTACAGTGCCCTCAGTGCTATCGTAGATTTACTGTAAAATCAACACTAACAGCCCACCTTAAGACCCATACTGGATTGAAGACTTTTGTGTGTCCTATATGCCAGAAACTTTTTTCATCATCATCAAGTTTAAAAGTACACACGAGGTAATTTTCAGTAATATATTTAACAAAACAAAAACATTTTCAACTAAGTTTTTATTAATGATATGCCAAATACCGATTCGATTCACATGATTTGAATATCTCTTATGTAATTGTGGCTCAAATTTCATAATGTTACAATGCCGATTCATCACAATCAATATTTTGTTTTACATATCCTAATCAACTAAAACATTACCTTTATTAAATTTTATTTACTCAATAAGCTTATAAACTCTGACAGGTTACATACTGGAACGAAGCCTTTTATATGTCGTGAATGCGACAGGTCATTTCGTACATCGAGCCAACTCCAAACACATTTCGCTACCAATTGCACGAGCGATAATAATCCGAAAATATGTGATCAGCAGATTGTTGAACAGACTTCAGGTAAACAGAGTGTCTGTTTTATCTACATAACTCTTGTTTACTCAACTCATGGATTGAATAAAATATTTTTTAGCCTGCATTCTTAAATCAATTTTAAGAATGTCGAGAACTGTTTGATAGATATTAGTTGAGAATCGTGCTGATTAGTTTTTGGTAAAGATCGGACGGGCCGTTTCTTTGAAATTAGCTGTTGAAATTTTTGTTTGACAAATTTTTGGAATTTAATATATGTTTCACATTATTACTGCATCAATTTTACTCTTTCTATATGTGTATTTTTATTGTAATTTTATATTTAAATCTATGTTCTAAAACAACGATTTTTTTTAAAAATATTAATTATTAGGAACAATATACAATTGCAACAAATACAAAATTACAAAAAATTGTGGATCGATACAAAGTCAACCCACAGCTTTCGCACATTTTTTGATTACTTCAATGATAATATACTTATCACTAAATAAGAAAAATGTGCTGAAAATATGAACGAGGACAATTGCACTAATCAAGATTTAAATCAGAATTTTAATTAGAACACACTAAAATATTGCGGTCCTACAACAAGTCCTTTAATTTTAGCGTTTTATCAAAGTTTAAAAAACAACTCTTTTTTGTCGTGAGACAAAATTAGTCCTTTCATCGACGTTTTCTCAAAATATGGATGAACTCATTTTAAAAATTTAAAAGCCATTTTTCCATAATTGATTAAAAAAAAAAATAGAGTACATGGTCTTAAAATTTTGATTTATCGGCCGCGCTTTTAGAAAATATTCCGTGTATGTATTAGGCATATGTGTTCCTTTTTCATTAATGTGTAATAAAAGAACTTCTTCAAAATTGAATAATCTGCAATAGTTTCTATTATTATGACGCTCTATGGCAACTTTAAATCTCTCATAAGTTAATATATTGATTTCATACTAATTGTAAGTTAATTATTTATACATGCCGGGAAGTGCATACAACTTGCCTTGAGGCAAAATGCCACTTACAACTAGTTATATTATTAATTACTTGCATATGAACATGAGAGAAATTTAATAATTTAATATCTTATTGGCTGATGAATAAGTTCATTTGTATAGTTCGCAATAATATATTCTACTTTGTATAATATCAATTGTTAATTATTGAATATTATTTTGCTCCAAACCTTATTTTGGGTTAGCAAGTTTATGATATTACCACAGTTTAATTTAAGATATTTATTGAAATTATTATCTCATAATTATATTTTAACATCTTAATATCTCAACAGAAATCGAAGAGGCTAAATTCAATGATAGCAGTTCCAGTGAACACTATTATATTTGTACAACTTGTGGCAGGTAATAATTAGCTGAATCGTAGATTTATTATCTAACTTGATCTCAATATTGTTAAAGTCGTAGATACATAAACAACAAATACACTCTAATTTCTGGATGTTTTTTTTTTATAGGAGCTTTCATGATGAAAACATTCTAAATGATCATCTGTTGACGCACACGTCATTAGATACTTTCAAATGTTTGGTTAGTAATTGTTCAATGTATTTCAATACTGCGTCTGCTTTAAAACATATGGAGAAACATAATGAGGTTAAATATTACATTTGTCCATCATGTCCAAAAACCTTCAAAACGAAAGTTAATTGCCGCGAACATACGGAGCTGCATAAGGAAAATGAAAATCTTGTAAGTATTTTATTTGTGGGTACTTCTACATTTCTACTTTTTCTGATATTTTATTAAGGTTTGCTTTTTTTTGCTATAGAACGTTCTGGTATTTTATACATTATTACTGCATCAATTTTACTCTTTCTATATGTATATTTTTATTGTAACTTTATATTTAAATCTATGTTTTAAAACGATTTTTTTTTAAATAATTGATTACTAAATGATTTTTATACGAACCTGTTTGTTTTGTAGGAACAATATACAATCGCAAGAAATACAAAATTACAGAAAAATTGTGAATCGATACAAAGTCAACCCACAGCTTTCACACATTTTTTGATTACTTCAAATGATAATATAATTACCACTAAACAAGAAAAATGTGTTGAAAATATGAAAGAGGACAATTGCACTAATGAAGATATAAAACAGAATTTTAATTCAGCTATATTAGACCATGTGTTGCCGATAAGCAATTGTATAATGCTGCCAAAAGATTTAAATATTATTACTAAAAGTGATCATTATTCTGGGGAAAGAGTTGTTATTGATAATACTTCTTCAGCAAACTTATTTCAAGTTTCTGGAATTTTGCAATCTACAGAAGGCACAAATATGCAAAATGTAGTATCAGTCAAAAGTGATCCTAATATTAGTTTAAATGATTATTCAAGTGAGGAGACTAGTATACCACTGTTCACATCCAACAATCAATCAACTTTGTTGGTCACCACAAGTAAGATTTAATATTTAGTATTAAGTTAAATTGGGTTTTTATTAACAAATCAATAAATTCAGTATTAGTAGTAATACCTTTTTGTTGTCCTAATTTCAATTATTGTGAATTTTTAGAATCTTTAAATGATCAACCTGTTAATGCACTGAGTAATATGAATGCTAATGCTCAAGAGGTAAATAGATTTTATGTTGTATTTATTTTGCCATTAAATCACCTAATTTTTAATCTTAAAATTTATTTGAAAGATGTCATCTATGTTGAATTAATTTAATTTCAATATAGATGTGTGCTCAATATTATTATTAATTTAAAAAAAAATATTTTATTACGTTATAATATTTTGTTTATTAAAATCATATTTTAACATTTTTCTTTATTTTTTTTTATTATAACGCTTGTTTTTCCAGAATGTGGCCTCATATTTAATCAGTAATTTACAATATTCAAACCAGAATTCTACCAACAACGATGAAGAAACTGAGCAAAATGCATCACTCTGCAAATACTTTAATGAAAATTCAGTTAAATCACCTGTTAATGTTATCACAAATAACATATTACTAAAAAACCTTATGGTAAATTTCCAAAATCAATTTGATATTTTATGTCTTGATGATCAAGGGAGTTCATTAGATATTTTGGGAGAAGAAAACTGCATTCAGGACGAACAAAATTATATTTCAGAACAACAAGATCAAATGATTATATCGCCAGCATCACCTTCATTCACACACTCCTGTGTTGTAAGTGAAAAATGTAATATTACTAAATATTTACATCTATATGATTTCTATAAATCTATAGAAAGAATTATTATAGAATGCATAAAACAGTTATCATTATTTTTAAATTTCAGGATGATGTTCAACCAGTTGATTTTAGTTGTGGCAACAGAGAATCTAGTGAGGTATTTATAATGATTTTATTGAAATAATTCTTTATTTATAATTTTCTAAAAATTTTTAGCAAGTGGAATGCCAAAATGATCAAATTGATGAATTTGGTGAAAATGTTCAATGTACCGGAAATGTTCTGTAAGTTACAAATTGCTTCAAAGCATTTTATTCTATTTTGGAAATTAATGAATTTTACATCAACTTGATTTTGTTGTTTGTTTTTAAATGTTGCAAAACAATATATATATTATATAATATATAATAATAATGATAATTCCATTTGTAAATGGAAGAGCATTCATGTTTTCATTTATTAAAAAAATAGATTTCTGGTTTTACCTTGCAACTTCTAATTTGTTTCTGTAATATGCTAGAGGCAGTTTTCACAAGGTGACAAAAATTCATGACATGAAATTTCAATTAAATGATATCATCTGAATTCAAATTGTATCAATAATAATCATAGGGCTAACTGAAATAGATTACAAATTTAAATCAACAAATTCGACATAATACAGGACTTATTGAAAAATTCCTAAATAATGCAATTGAAGCAAAAATACAGTTGAAGTTTTAGTGATAAATCAACCAGGATAATTTTTTTTCCTTAGATATTAACAACACTAAGTTTATTATTTCAAATATCTATAATTATTTTCAGTAATTTATAATTTATAAAAAAGCACTCAAAATTTCAATTTAATATTGTTTTCATTATATATTTACAAAGCTGAGAGAAGCTAAAAGTAATATAGTGTGAAATTTTAAGTATACATTGGAAAAAATTGGATGTATGATAATATTCTTATATAGTATTCAGACATGATTCAAATATATTTTTTATGTGGTTTGTAGACAAGAAACATCTGAAAATGACATGGGCAGAGGAAGAAACATGGAGCCTCAATTTGAAATGAAATATGTGCCTGATATTGAAGACAATTATAGCACAAACTCATTAAGAACATTTTCACACGAATGTCAATGAAAATCAATTAGATGAAACAGGTACAGATTCAGATAAATATATAAGATGCAAAACTAAAAATCTTAGTGCATCAGAGCAAGCATTTCTAGACTACATTAACAATCAGGTAATATTTTATATTTCTGATAATATTTGTATACAATAATATAATATAATATAATATTGCTGGAAACATTAAAAAATTCAAACTGATAAATTAGTACATTCTAAATTTTATTGAATAATATAATGTGTTATGCGTTTTAGAAGATTTTAATTTAATATGTTTTAAATGTGTTTAATTTGTCAATATTTCATAATTTATTCAAAATCGGGTGTTGATAGGAGTCATTTATTCAATGTAAATCACTTGCAATAAAATGAAAACTGCATAGATATTCTTAATGGTTGTACGTTTTTTAATTTTATTTTGGAAAACTAAACTTCGAAAAATATGTAAATGCTGATTTTATACAAATGTATATTCTCATCTCTCACTAAAAGTCAAAATAAATTTACATGATTCACTTCTTGAATGTTATTTCAGTTCCTTGCCATTTGAAGTCATTGAGAATTTGTACCTGTCACAAAACTATGTAAAGATACAGCTATAAATAATATTAGGAAAAGTTTGTATTTGTTTATGGTTGCAAATGTAAACGCTAATTTTTCTTTAGTGACATTTTAACAAATTACCATTTGATAGAACTCAATAATGATTATGGTTTATATTGCTATTCAGTTAGAAGAATATTAAATGATAATACCTTGCTATTATCTAATTTACCAATTTTACTGGTTTAATCAGTAGTTTTGAGTATAGGTTTTTAATCACTCACATTCTTGTTTACATCTTGTAGTAAAATACATACTAATCTTAGAGTATAATTTAACAGATTATATGAGAGTCCATAGTATTTTGAAAAAAGATGATTGGAAATAAGCAGAAATATGAATATATGAATATAAATTTTAATTTATCTTGTAATATGCTATTTATCATATGTTTTCCAACTACTTTCGACATAATTTAGCTATTCTTATTCACTCTTTTGATAATCAATCATATTTAATTTATTTAATTGGTATCAGTTTTGACTATTAAGTTAAGAGATTACAACTTGTATATTACATAGACTAACTAAACAAGCGTTTTGACAGTCTTAATAATACTGTTGTAATTTTTTTAAATTCGAGATTTAGTTTTTTTTTGCAAGATCTGGAATCATCACCATTAATTCATTAATTTTACATACTAATTTCCAGAAGTATTTTCGGTAATGTTACATGAAACCTAACTATTTTATTGCTAATAAAATTTTGAAATTATCTACCACCTATTCACAAATTTCAGCTCTCACAAAATTTTTATTTAATACTTTTAAAATGTGAAGCTCCAGAAATTTATAACTCAATGCCTTTTACTAATTTTTAGTGGATATTAACGCTAGTGTGACAATATATTAATTTCTTTTGCAGCACAAAGTAATGACTTTGAATAACACGGCACAGCATCCAAATAAATGTTCTTATTGTGTGAAATCATTTAAAAAAA